ATAAAATAGTAGCTAGCTATAAAAGTCGGTTTAAGTGGCATTTGCAATTCTGTTGGAGGGCAATTCCAGACAACTAAGCCTTCAGCTGCCAGGCAAGCATATTGATTGAACATCTACAACAGTTTCATTTAATAATGCCAGGGTGACGTTGACTAGATTTATGTATCCTGCAGCATTTTCTTTATCCTGCAATTTTAAGTTTAGGTATAGCTGATGTTAAAGAAAATCATTTGCCTTTAGAGGTGTGGCTGGATTCATCGGGTTTAAGGTTTATTTTATTATTTTCGACAAATAAGTTTCTATACCACCATTATGCTGCAAATCGTTGGAGAAATGTAATATCTTTTTCATTTCCACATACAGTTATTAACCTTTCTTTTTTCGTATAATTCCTTTTCTGGTGTACCTCGGCAGTTTTGTTTTACAGGGTATGGCATGTTTTTATGTTATTCAATATAAAAAATATTTAGTTTTCTACATCAACTCTTATGTTACCAAATGCTAATGCGCCAAAACAAAAGTGCTGACATGATTAGAAGAAAACTAGTAATATRTAATACAAAACCCGTATCAGTGTTGGCGTCTTATAGGTAAATAAGTATCAAAGCCACTGAATTTATTTGCCAGCTGCCTCTGCAAACGATTAATTTTTAGGGTTCGTAGGTCAAACTTTGGTTTCTATTCTGCATTCAACACACTGTCAAAKAATTTCAAGAATCAGAAATGAGCACCTAGTAAGGCTGCCCAAAGGAACAGCCTCAACTTGGCATATACCATAAGGCAAGTGTTACTACAGTATGTAAGCAACAGTTTGCCTTGATATAACAACCGCTCCTGATTTGAAATATCTAATCTTGTGTGCGAGTGCATTATAGCACACAAAGGTTCGTGAAGAACAAAATTCAGGGTCAGTAAACTGGGCACTTATGACTGGTCATCATGCATGTAAGTTCATTGGCTTCAATAAAATACGAACAAAGTCCCTTGTATAAGCACGCTGTACACATAAACATAAGCATTGACGGCCAATGAGTTGCACATGTGACTTACCAAAAAGGCGCGGAAAAGACCACTCAGATCGGTCCGAAACATTCGTGATAATATGCAATATTGCCAAGGCATTTTTCGAGATGAGTAAGCGACGTTATTCTAAAGTATTAACACTATAATATAAGCTTATTACCTTATCAGTGACTCGGCTCCGGCCATACATAAATGAACTTCTTTTGCGTCTTGAGAACCGGAATCATTCGTGAGGGCCATTCGTTGCTATCAAGCATCTCGAAGCCAACGAGGTTCTCTCCGTCATCTTGGTTTCCTGTAGCAAAATTAAAGTTTAACCTCTTTTGAAACAGTCATGACCATCAATGATGGGGAGACCATGAACAACACATGAATTCTTCTGATATACATTGTATTCACTVATCAGGAATGGTTCTAACGTTATTTACCTTAGTTTAGATGCGTCACTGAAGACTTGAGGTTCGATCCTGTAATAGGAAACTAGTACTCTAGAACATCTTCTGTAGTTAGCTTTTCCTATTTAGAAACGCTGTATTGAAAACAAACTTATTTTCTAAACTCTTGCTGTTAACTCGTCCGAGACTTGGAAAGAAAGAGACCGAGATTGTTTGCTATCGTGGTTTTGATTCCTGGTTAATCACAAAAACAACGAATCAGAACCCAAGAAATGCTTCCTGTTGACATAAGTTCAACAGAAGGTAAACAGATCAACTTTCAAAAGTTCAAGGTTCACGCTAATTCCCGCGTGTCTCTTTT